TTCTCTCGGACAGCCCCTCAGGCCATCAAAATACAACTCATTCAGTACCCAAATCATTTTGGAAAACCTTGAAATTTTTATATGTTATATACACAAATGTCCCCAGCAATTTTTGTGAAGGAAGTATTTTGAAAATAGGCCTAAAAAAATTTATAAAAATTCGAACAGACCCGAAGGTCGGGTGAACAGTAAATCGGGCAGTTTTATTTCGGTCCAAAGATGGACTTCCGAATGGCATCAAATGATTTCCAAAAATTCCCAAATTAAAGTATGTTATACTCCAAGATGTTGGGAAAAACTTTCATGAAGGACACTTCTTCAAATTCGGCCCACACAAGTCACACCAAAAATAACAAAATCCGATGACGCAACAGTAACCGTACCGGAAATCAACAATTATGCACCACCAAGCAAACCAAACATAACCAACCACTAATCCAATGATCCCCAGCCTTTAAACCATCCCTAAATCATCACATTAGGTCCTTAAAATCACCATAACTTCAGCCCAAATCAGCCCACTCTAATCAACCCCTAAAATACCCTAATAACCCCTAAAACTTGTCCAAAGTGCACATAATCCTAATTAAGGGTTTATGGCTTCAAAAGTGGGCTGAACAAGGAGAGAGAAGGGCTGAACAGCAGCTGGATCGACCCGGTTCAGCGGCGGCGCTCCGGCGGCGGCGGCGGCGGTCCTCCGGCGAGAGCCTCTCACAGCCAAACAAAGATGAAAAAGAAAGAGAAGAAGAGGAGTGGCGTGGAAGGAGGGGGGGTGCACGGCTGAAGGGGAGGAAAATGGGAGGAGAGAGAGAGGATTGGGCAATAATAACTTTGACCAACTTTTCCAAATTTCAAAATTGCTCTTTTCACACTTGGTTCTCAATAATCCAACCCAAAATATCCAAGGGCGTTTTGGTCTTTCACCCCTTGAATTATTGGGCTGAAATATACATTAAAATATCCAAATTTAATCCCCAAAAATGGCCCAAAATTCGAGACCCTAAAAATGAGTCATAGGGGCAAAACGGTAATTTTCCGGTCCCGGGTCGAAATTCCATTTTTCGACCGTACCTACTCCAAATATGTGTGGCCACTCAAAAATGACGTCGGCCTCGCAAAATAGTCGCAAACACTCATAGAATTTCGACATCGAAGTTCGGGTCCAATTTGGCGATCAAAATTGCTCAATTCAGAATTTTAGAGCCTCTCACTAACGGGTGGCTGTTTAGGGGTTACGCGTATCGACCTAGGGTCACTCGAGTCGTGACGGTCTCGATTACTGGGAAAGTGCAAGGAATTATTGGTTATTCCAAGGGTCACAATCGTTCGGTTCAGGTTCGGGATTTATTTGCCACGCGCACTCTCGGTCGAGCGAAATCACCCGCGATCCGATCGTACGTCGTTGGCCAAACCAAATTCGTCGCCTCCCTAGAATTGGCCCACACTGGCCCAAAATACTTTCCCGCCATTTCCCGAAATCGGTGCTCGATTCGCGATCCGGTCCCCGGTCCACGTACCGTTTTCCTAGTTAGCCTTTCCCATTGGTCAGTATCCCGCGAGGGGCCAGCTCCGGGCGAGACGTACTAAAATCAGATGAGAAATAATATCCACTTCGTCGGATCCCGGAAATAGGTCGAAATTCAGGATGTTACAGCCAAGGCCGCCCCTCGCTAGGATCTACCGAGGTCGAGCCCTGCTCGAAGCTGGCGAGGTTGGCCCTCACAGGCCTGGCATTGAACTGTCAAATGGCAGCAGATTTGTGTTCCAGCTAATATCTGCATACCTATTAGCAAATGACATTGAACCATGTGATATCTCAAACTTCTTGTTTAAAGTACGTAATGTCTCGTCTCCTTTTTTTCTTTAACAAAGAAAATCCCAGCAGATTTGTGGTCGTTGGTTCATGTAAAAGCCATCAGCTGGTTATGTCAGTGATGTATGAAGACCGTATGAACAAGAGTTCATCACTAAGGATAACAATGTATTGTATATCTTACGGAGAAGAATCCAAATTTGGATCCAAAATACCAAAGTAATTTCAACACATGAGAACGTGGGAAGATTTACCAGTTTTATGCCGTCGACAATCTGGGAAGGTTGATTAGCATTAAGTCTAAACAGCCTCTGATGACGAGATGCAAAGTCTATCATTGAGGAATACAAGTGAAAAATTCGAACAAGGGAACGGATCTCGACAAGGAAGCCTTTCTTTGTTTTGCTGCAACTAATCGATGTCAATCAAAGTTCCAACATGAAAAAAGTACTTCATAACATTCTTAACATAGAGCAAGTTCATTTAGAATATTATGATCATATAAATAAGGCTTCCTTGCAACGCTTGTGAAATTATTAGTCTACCTACAATTAAAATGAGCACCAACCATAATGCACCTTCGATGGGCATTTAAAATCTTTGAATTTCCGATCGCCATTGTTACTGGCACAACAATGAGAGCTTACATGACTGGTGACCACATTGAAGCCTTCCAACGAAATATTAATCTCCATTTTCTTTTCGTAAGTTCTTCGGACAAATTTGGGACACATCTTTATATTGTTTCAAAAGGAACTTTCCTGAAAGAGTTGTAGAAGAATGATACTACGAAGCATATTAAGGTTGATCTACAAAATTAGTATAATAATTGGGAGATCGATTCTCCCTCTTCTATACCCTCCTGCAAGGATTGATGTGAAATTATTCTTGCGAATCTCTTTGCATAAATGTGCTTTCCATGACAAAAAAAAAATTTGCAGGTGATCAATGGGTTGACTCAATCTGGGTCGGGCATTGGAAATGTGTAAATAAAAGAGAGAAATACATCCTCCAATTAACATAAATGCCCCTCAAGAAATGTGAAAAATAAAAGGAAGAATACATCCGGAGAATCAAGCCATGTTTGTAATTGTCGCATGAAAATTTGGATGCAGCCTTGAATTAATTTGAACGCTAGCAATAAATATATAAGGGTTTAAGAGCAGATATTGGCTTAAATAATGGTTTGAAGTGGCTAACTTAAGGGTCCAAACTCATTGGCTAGTCAAATTTTCGCTGGCCGGTTTGAATGTGCAACTCGCTTGCTTATTTCGGCAGCTAGAGCAAGGGCAATTTCGTCCGAAACTTTCTACTTTGACCCAATTTGAAGAAAGCTTAAATTGAAGCTAGAATTCTTATTGTTTGAAGCTCAGGGTAAGAAAAGGAAAACATTGCTCGAAGCAACTTTCGCGTTTGGTCTCTATGCTGATCAGAATCATCAGAGCACTACTGTCTGCAAAACTCTCTCTCTCTCTCAGATCACCAAAGGCAAGAAAAAGGGAAAAAGTGGATATTCCAAGAGAATTATAATAATTAAAATATCTGCAATTTATTTTCATGCTAATGCAATATATTTACGGGCATGGAGAGACGTGGGAGTGGATGCTCTATACTTTCATGGTCAGACAATGAATATGTCTCAGGTTTGGCCCGTGTTTTAGATATTTTTGTACACCCACACATGCTGCAAATGGTGATGATTCCCCTAGATACTTCAAATTTTCTGGCCTTTTTAGGCTTTGGACTTCCATTTTCAGCTGACCGTGTGTGGAGGAGTCTCCAAATGAAACAGCCTGAACTGTGCATGTGAATGAAGAGCAACCTTCACCTTGGTGAAGCAACCCCGGCGAAAAAAGGTTCAGTTCATTGTTTTGGCCCCTCGCCGATCTCTTCTCTGAAAACTAAAGTTTGTCTTCAACAATCTACTTGCACACTTTCAACAAGGAGCATATCTTACTTCTTTTTCGAGAACATGATCATTTGACTCGCAAATCCAACTCTGTATCCGGATCCCTAATTCCAAGTCCAGTTTTTAGCCACTGAAAACCATCCAATGTAGGTCCATAAAACTTGCCTGCTTCGATTTTGTATGTCATTTACATACATTCTTGCAGGCCAAATCCACTAAGTTTTCTCCATAGCAGAAGAGACTTTCTGTCTGCAAATGGAGTCAAGAATCATACAGTGGCCACTGCTATCACATTGATCTAGCTAGGCCATTGTAAATGCAAATTTTGATCCATCAAACTGACAACAAGTATTAGAGGAATTGTCAATTCAGTGCTATATATGTGATCAAAGTTCTTATCTTGCGAAATCTTTTGTAGGTACATAGGTCCTGTCAGATGAATCTTAAATTGACAATAAGCTTTTGTTCCTAGGAAGGAAGACAATATGCATGTACAAAGTTGAAGAGAACTGGTCTCAATGATCAGCATCTAGAGCCTCTCATTGTGTAGGCTCATTGCAAGTTTAATTTCAGAGCTCCAAGACAATTAAACAATCAAGCTTGGGTTACCCTGCATCTGGTTTATAACTTCTTCCCCCAGAAACATGAATTATATGTTCCATGATCATAGCATCCAATACTTTTGTTGTCTCTGTGACACTATCCACACAAAACAAATTAGTTCTTGTCTTGCATTTTTAATTTTGTCAATCATTTGTTTGCAATCTCTGGTGGTGAGCTTCCTCAAGACTATAGGACCATTATATATTCGATGTGAAGTTTTGCACTAGCATAAGCAGTGACATCTTTGTAGGTTTCTGTTTGAATTGTTAATCCAGCATGTATCTCTTTGTCCAAGTGATTAGCCGGACAACCAGCAATTCTGGAGATACTTGCATCTGCATAACCTTTGAAAATCTCATTTTGGGAAGTGCTCTCTAATCCTTTGAAGGTGAATTCTCTCTTAATTGAGACAGCTACCGGTCAGTTTCGGGTTTAAGTGACACTACTGTCCGGATAAAGTTATTCATCAGTCAGAGCAGTCACGGCACTGGACATGAAAATATCAATATTACAAACAACATCACTGTACTTTGATAGATAGCATAGCAAGGAAGCCCCGGAATTAGTCTACATAGAGTACATACTTGTCTAGAATAGGTATTGAACATTTCCTACTCTGAAAACATAAGCGTGGTCACAATATTTGTTAACTGAAGGAGTTGAGTAAAAAAGGACTTGAATTGAAAAGACCGAATGAAATTGAGAACCAATTCTTCTAAACCGGGGTAGCATAACCAGTAGAACTTAGCATATGTCTCACTCTTCACATGTTCGGAAGTAATACTGTCATGTTTTACAAGGTAGAAAGCAAACCCTGCAACTCTTCTGCTTTTGTAAATCCCAGCCTCTGCATCCTCACGTATTAGGCTCTCGGAGAACTGAACACAGTCCCACCTGTGTTCATGTATGCATGTTGGCTCAAAAGCATGGGCAACCATATGTAAACTGATATGGTGTGGCATCCTCATCGGACGCTGTCTTGGCGCATGACCACTGAGGCAGAAGATCTTCTGACTGATTTCCTGAGTTTCCGAATCGTCTTCCATATCAGGCGTATCGTATGCCCCACGAGAAGCAGAACCATCAAGCCAAACCACAAGAGGATTCCGACTCCTGTTATCTTGTAGATCGAATTCTTTTCATGAGAGGGCGTGAATAATGTCATTGAGAGACCATAGGTGAGTGCTATAGATGTGATAGCGATCCACATGATCACCATCAGAATCCACATGAAAAACCTACGCCTCAAAGGGAGGCCGCTCACGAGTAACAGGATGATGCTGAGGGATGCAAGAAAGCTTATTGTGTTAACCACAGAGAATAGCAAGTATCTTCCCGGATAATTGTCGGCCATGATGGAAAATCCTGCGGTGTGTGAATATTTTGAATTGTCACCTCGGGTAGTCTCTTGCCAAAAACCACCTGGAGGGTTGACACCGACTTGGAATGCCATTGTTGCGGTCAAAGACGCAACAACCATCAGTGCACCCTTTTTCCTTTCAAGCCAATCATATTGCTTATTGAGATTCTTCTCCAAACTTTTTCGCTGCATGGGGGATGCAATATTCTGATCATTGGCATTTGGAGGTGAGGCCCCCATCATCATGGATTCAATTTCACTCCTAGAGGGAGCACGAAGAATTGCAGTTGCAGTCGTCGCTCCTGCTTCACAAAAGTTGTTTATGTTGTCCATGTTCCTTCCAGGTTTTCCACTCTGTGCTAAAAGGTCATATGCTGTGAGACCGTCCGCGTTTGGAGAGTTCGCTTCTACTGTGGTAAAAGACGTCAAGAAACTCATTGTCTGCACAGGTCCATATTTGGATATGTCAAGGGACTATATGAGAAGGTCAACTAGAGATTAAACCGATCGGCTCGTTGAGATACGAAAGAGAAGACAATAATGGGCAGTTTATATTATAAGGTGGGTCTTGTGCACTTCTTACTTACCTCAGTTTGCTTATCTGCAGCAGCTTGGTGCAATATGGTGTCGCCATTGTCGTTCTTCAAATTAACAAACTCGGGATCTCCAAAAGACTCCACCAAAAGCTTTAGAGCTTCCAAATTATTATGCTTCACGCATAAATGGAGAATGGTCTCGCCATGTCCCATCTTTTGATGTGCTGCATCAGGACTCTCTCGAATCAGTTCCTTTAGAACATCGATCCGGCCTTTAACCGCTGCAATGTGAAGAGGGTTCCTACCGTATCTGTCACGAGCATAGCACATATCAGCATTAACAGTCAACAATTTCTTCACTACTCCAAGATGACCTTTAGCTGCCGCGAGGTGCAGGGGTGAAAATTTCTGAGAATCCAGCTCTCCTGCAAGCTTTGGATTTCGATCCAGAATCTCATCAACGAATTTCTCATGACCAAGCATTGCTGCTATATGTAACGGAGTCTCATTGTAATACCACACCATACATCTATCAAGAATCAAGGGATCGTCTTTGAGCAAATCGACCAAAGAAGCCGCATCTCCTTCAGCTGCTGCTTTGTAAAGCTTCCTCTCCATTTTCGCTCCTCAAGCTCCGAAATGAATCCGGGCTTCTGAATAAAACACCATCATCCTTAACTTTATGGTCTTCCGAGGAATCTAAATTATTTGAATGTGTTGAAAAGTCTTGGGCACTTCACGTAAAGTCACCATCAATCTTACTCATATAGAGACGTCTGTCTGTAGAACGCTATATATAATTCTAAGAAAGTGGGACCTTGGTTCATTTTCAGGAAATGCATTTCCAGACCCGAGGGTTGCACGTATCTATCAAGCCAAAAACAAACAAAATTGAAAATTCATCTTCATGTCGGCAGATTTGGGTTTATGGTTTTCCAAGGAATCTAAATTATTTGAACTTTTTGAAAAGTCTTGGGCACTTCATCATGTAAAGTCATCATCAATCTTAGTCATATTACGTATAATTCTAAGAAGGCAAGACCTCAGTTCATTTCTAGGAAATGCATTTCCATACCCGAGGGGTGCACGTATCTATGAAGCCAAAAACAAACAAAATTGAAAGTTCATCTTATTATCGGCAGATTTGGGTTTATGGTTTTCCAAGGAATCTGAATTATTTGAACTTTTTGAAAAGTCTTGGGCACTTCATCATATAAAGTCATCATCAATCTTAGTCAAATAGACCTATATAATTTGAGGATCACAACCTTCACCGGTTGCTACTTGCTAATACAGAGCATTAACTGGGAAAAAAACAGTGAACTTTGATCGACTGTAGATTATTATCCGTAAGCAATGTTCAACGTCCATTGAACAAATTCTTGCATATCGAGCTGCAAAGGTTATTATCCGTCCCACCTCTCCCTTACAAACCCTCCAGCTGCAAAGATGATTTTTTGAACATTCATAGTCAACATTGTCAGTGAACTAGATTGAATGTAATATTTAGTCTCTAGACTAAATTCTTCGGGGGAAATTACCCAATTAATCCTAAATCTACTGTACAGTTGTCAATTCATTCTTAAACTGTTCAATTTGGCCAATGTAGTCCTAAATCTTTTAGCAATTTTCCAGCGTAGTCTATCCTGCCAATTTAGGTTGATAAATTCTGACATGGAGGTCCAATCAGATCTGACGTGTACGACTCCATTCAAAACAGCGTCGTTTTTCACAAGTTTTATCATTCTTTTTTATTTATTTTCTTTCTTTGTTTCCTTTCTTCCTTCTTTTTTCCTTTTCTCTCAGGTTTGTGTTCCATACCACCAATCATGCACCGCCCGAGGGTGAGAAGGTTAGGAAGGGCACTGTTGTTTGACAAGGTCATGGACCCAAGCAAGCTGCCGTCCGAGGGTGAGACACACTCGAACCCAAATTCATCCTACATCAATCGAGGCTGGACCGAAAAATCGAACTGAAACACTGTGGACACCTTAATTTTTGCCGACAAGCCAAGCATGCACTCTTTTTTGTGAAGAATATAAATAAAAATAAATGATGGTAAAATGGACAATAATAATAGCAATAAACAAATGAAAGTATAAATGAAAGAAGAGAAAGAAAAATGGGTCCAGCCCAGCTCGTGCAGTCAAATTCGCGTGGCCCAGACCACTTAAACCCAAGCAATTGACTCAATTCGGCCCAGTTGGAATTATTTAAAGAAGTCGACCAAAGCCCATCCACATGCATATTTGAGTTACGGCTGATACTCAGATTCATCCATCGTTTCATTCGAATCGAGTAGGAGTCCAGTGTTGTTTGTTGGGTTCGATTGGTTTGTGATTATCATTGAATTATGTTCGCAACCACAAATTTATTCCCTAATCACAAAGTTAACCCCATGTCGCGACTTTCCTTTATCTTCTCAGCAAGAAGAATATTCGCGCAACAAAACTAAGTGATTTCTCATGATGGAGTATAATTACACACGTCTGATAATTGTGTCGTTGTTCTTTGGGATAAGTTGATGTCAAAAAGTCAAGAGGGAGTAGTTAAGTGCCCTAGTTAAGAGCAGTTGGGAATGACTAAAATGCAGATGAACTCGGAATAAATTACATGATTAGAAACCTCTGAATGTAACAAAATAATCTAGGTGTCGGTTTAATTCAGATAAGAACATTTGATGCACCAATTGCTTATGGGAACACATTTATACTCATTAATCCATTTAAACCGGATTTCCATAAAACATAATACCCACTGTTAGAGTCGTAGTGAAGAGCAAACTGGACCATTCAGTGCACTTCTCAAACACTTTCCCACACTTCACAAAAAAGAAAATCAAATCTCATCTCTTGGGTGTTCATAATGTTGGATTGTAGTTCATACTCCCCGACTATAAGAAGACACGGAGGTGCCGCTCTTGTAAATGAAAGTGATGTAACAGAGAAATGCGATGTTATAATTATAATATAATCCTCTGTTGGACGTAATCCTAGTTTAAGGGTAAATCCGGATAAAAACCTTGTGTCTCGATTTCTTTTTCATGCTATTACTCTCTTTTGCTTTGTAATTGTACACTGAATCCTGACATTTGCTATGCCATTGTCTTTTTAAGCTAATCAAATAAGATCACACGTGACATCTCTAATTAACTAAATTAGCTAACACACAAAATGGGACTCCTCACACGTGTGGGAATTGATCACCTACTGCACAATCTCTCTTTTTTTCCTTTCTTTTTGGGTTAATATTACGAAAAACTCTAAACTGATATACCCGTGACCAATTTACCCCAAACTAATTTTTTACTACAAAAAACCCCAAACCGGTACACCTATGACAAATTTACCCTCCGTTAGTTTCCATTAAATTTTACCATTAAATTGCTGAGTTGGATGACACATGACAGTTAAAGGGTATACTAATTTGAGATTTTACGTCTCTATTTGTCATAGGTTTATCAATTAGTGATTTTTCGTGGTATTAATCCAATTTAATGGAAGGTAAATTTGTCACAATTGTACCAGTTTAGGGTTTTTTATGGTCAAAAAATTAATTTAGGGTAAATTTGTCATAGGTGTACCAATTTGGGGTTTTTGAAGGTCAAAAAATTAGTTCATGGTAAATTTGTCATATGTGTATTAGTTTGAAGTTTTTCGTAGTATTAATCCTTTCTTTTTTGCCAAAATCACCTTCTAAGATCGTTGCCTATGTGAAATGCAATCAACGCGCGACCATTTTTTTCAATTCTCGTTCAAAAAGACATCAATTCGCGTCCGTTTGGAAGCAATTACATTAAACACAATTACAAATTGTGGGGGTTATGCCTTAGAGGCTGAGAGCGGTGTGGCTAGTAGAGTGGACATTCCGGATTCTCACCGGATTCAAACGACACATTTGATGCCCCAATTGCCCTAGTTAAGAGCAGTTGGGAATGACTAAAATGCAGATTAACTCGGAATTAATTACATGATTAGGAATCTCTGGACGTAATGAAATAATCCAGATCGGTTGGTTTGATTAAGATAGGACATTTGACGCACCAATTGCTTATGGGAACACATTTATACTCATTAATCCATTTAAACCAGATTTCCATAAAACATAATTCCCACTATTAGAGTCGTAGTGAAGAGCAAACTTGACCATTCGGTGCACTTCTCAAACACTTTTCACTAAGAAGAACACCAAATATCATCTCTTGGGTGTTCATTAGATGTCATTGTCTATTAAGCTAATCAAATAAGATCACTCGTGACATCTCTAATTAACTAAATTAGCTGACACGGACTCCTCACGCGTGTGGGAATTAATCACCTTCTACACAATCTCTTTCTTCTTCTTTTTTCCTTTCTTTTTTGCCAAAATTCCCTTCTAGTATCGTTGCAATAAACCCATGACCATTTTTTTCATTTCTTGTTCAAAAAGACATGAATTCGCGTCCGTTCGGAAGCAATTACATTAAACACAATTACAATTTGTGGGGGTTATGCTTTAGAGACCGAGGGCGGTGTGGCTGGTGGAGGGGACATTTCAGATTATAATCTGTTTCAAACGACACATTCTAGCTTAGTGTTATTTAATTTTGCCATCCATAGCCCATTGGATTCAAATTTGCATCCAAGGGATGCCAAAACAAGGGTAAAAGTGACCAACGAGTTCTCGATCAAAAATAAGTGAAAAGTAACTAACAAACCCCGATATCGAAAGATAATAAAATCTTGATCAATCGAATCCGCCATTACCCAACCTTAGTTCGGACGAAATCCATGAAGGATGCTTTTTGTTTCCCCTAATCACATATTAGGATTCTCATTTCTTCGGCAATCCAATATGAAGATGAATGGAAGGAGGCAATGGAGTCGTGTTCGATGGGCTTGATCCAATTTATAAAGCACCTATCTCGAGAACGTAAGAAGATACCAATGCACAATATTTTCACTAACTAATCGAGGCGTTTCTATTGTGGTGCTTATGTATGAACATTAGCAGCGTAACAACCTGATTAAAAGATTGCTTTTCTTGAATTTATTCAGAATTTTCATTTCTAATCGAGCAGAATAATAGGTGTTATTGTTAAATTTTCTAACTTTAGTTCGGTAAAACAATGATAGGAGCTATCAGACATTTTTCACGATGAAGCTTTTGGACATATGGGATGATAAACTGTTGTTGAAGTTGCCTCAAAAGGGTTTATTCAGGTATCACCCGCAATCGAAAAGAATCATGAAAGTTCAATTTGGACATCTGCGCCAAGAAATCCGTGAGAAGACATGGGAGAGCTGGATCAATGTCAAGTATACGATGAGCCTCGTGCCATTGAGGTTGTTGATTGATTAACGTGGATCAAACTAATTGCAGTCTCTATCAGATGATATTGTTTTATCCTGCTAAACGAGATGGGATTTGACCGTAGCTTATTGGCTGTGAATCTATTTGCTGAGTTTTTTAGGGTGGGTGACAAGATTAATAACTATATGGAATGCAATGTCTAGAAATCACCAATCTATCATTCTTAAATCTTTGGAGCAGCGCGCAATACGCAAGATGGTCGTGGAATTTGAATTTATAGTACTCATTGAAAACTTTTACTTTTGATTCGTTTGTCTTGTATAAGTTTATCATTTTATAGTTTCCTTTTCCTATTTTCTTTTTGAAAAAAA